TTCCGATTGACTAATATTGCATTTAAATTTGTTTCTCTATCATTTCTCATCCAAATCGAATGAAATTTTGAATATATGTACGTTAACGAGTCAGTGTAAGTGATGGCGAAAAAAAAAATAACAAAGATTAGTAGTCACACAATATACATCATTCTTATTCGTCGATCTCGTAATTGCGTAATCGGGATAAGCCACAAATTAAAATTGCTTTTCTAAATCACATTATCTGTATCCCCGACTATTTATAAAAAACATGTCCAGCTTAGAAATTAATAAACAATTGCAACGGAGAAGTTAATCGAATTATTAAAGCTTTTTCATCTATAGCAATAGAGGAACAACAAACAGAAATTGACAATGAAATACTCGAAAATTTTAAATCAGATTATAATATATAATACTAATACTGCTTCTAATACTAGTAGTTAAAATTTGTATACTCAAATAATCGAAGTCAATTCGAAGGGGACTTGAGCTTAAATTTGACAATCTTGCCAATATATTATTCTATAATTAGTTGTATTGAATAAACTGTTATTACCGCTTTATGTGTGACGGATAAACTTAGATAAGGTGAAGATCGCTCGTGTTGTTGTTGTTGTTGTTGTTGTTGTTGTTGTTGTTGTTGTTGTTGTTGTTGTTGTTTTGTAATTTAACGTTAAATTACTTTTTATCGCAATCTTTCATTCCTTTTAGTATTTTTCAATTTTAGATTGGAACAACGTGAACGCAAACACAGCGGCAGAACAATTTCGTCAACATTACGAAAAAGACTTTGGCACACTTTTACCGAACAGTAAATTTGCAATATCTTGTTACATATTGTCAACTGATTTTTGTTAACACTTCAACAAATTGAATATCAAACTTTACGGGAAAACTCATTACATAAATGTAGCCAATATTCTAAATATTTGAAGTTTCGAGTCCTTTATTGATCACACATGGGCGGACTCTTATTTACTGTGTTCTAAATATTTGAGCTTTCATTCTGCATTTAGTGTATACTACCCGGTCCATATAAACGGCGTTTTACAATTCCAGATGGATGTGTACTAAAGAGAATGTGCGATTGAGGATGTTTTTCTTCCAATGGACATCCATCATGAATCCATTTGTATACAATATCTCTCCAAGACCAGGATTCTTCACTTGGCTCTGGTTGTATTTTATCAGCATATTTCTGATCGTGCTCGCTTTTGATAGGTCCATGCTGAATTGCAATATTAGCAAAAGTGGCTCCCATTTTGTTGGCGGGTGCCAGCAATGCCGTAATAAAGATACTTTCTTCAGGTTTACCCGGGATAATTACCGGAGTTGCATTAAAGTCACTGCACAACGCTCTTAATGCCCAGATCGGGTCGCTTTGTTGAAGCCACCTAGATATAAAGCATAATTTAGTATGAGACATGAATTGTCTTTCGCTATTACAAAATTGCACAACCTACCAGTGAATGTTTTGTTGCGTAGCTTCCTGTGGATTTGCGGGATTTGGACCAGTAAGCAAAAACCTATGTGAATAAAATTTTCAAACCGGTTATTCAGAAACTTGAATTCTTAAAAGACTCGGATCAAATATCTTACAAGCTGTGTGCTGGTTGTCCAACTTGATTATTTTTGAGTACAGAAATTAGACGTTTCATTTCAACAAAGGAATCAATTGTCTCTCTTTTTAACGCCGATTCATCAGTATTCGGGCCAAGGGAGAGAATCCAATCGCGCCACAGATTAAGCTCATCTTCAGTAAAAATCTTGTACATGGGACCATCCCAGGTTGTTATGTGAGTCAATATGCGAGATTGCTCCGGATCACCTTTTACAATATATGAACTCTCGGCCAAAGCATCCAAAAATCCTGTGGGATTTGCAAACCATTCATTAATGTACGTGTCCCCCAATTTTCGGTCATTATGGTTACGACTTGCATAAGGAGCTTTAAAAGAAATCATGCTGATCATTCTGTCTCTGAGAGATGGGATGCCTATATAGCACAAATAATAGTGTTAAGATTTTTCTTTACATAAAGCATGTGCAATGAACTATAAATAATACCGAGTCTTTTATCCGTGATCTTTTTCTCAAGATCCGTCCCAAGAGTCCCGACTGTTTTAAACTATAACATAATATTATTTTCGATGGGTTGACAAAATAAAAATAATCATGCATAATATCTGTTAATACTCACGGCAATATATGCAATCCATATACGCTGCCAAGCAGCTTGAACCTCTTCCTCTCCACCAGTTTTGCGAACATAGTCAAGATAAAGCATCACTGCTTCTTTTGCTTTGGCACCTTTAGACAAAAAAGACATTCAGTTTTATATACTCATGTGCTTATTATTTTTTAATTGAAAAGCATACCATGTCCGGTAGAGGCGTTATCGATGGCAACGTGCATATCGTAAAAGTGAGTGCTCAGACCATAGTATTTATATAACTTGACGGTATGTTTCAAGTCCAACACTTCCCATTCCAGTTGAAGGGTAAGTCCTAGGATTTCCGGAAAGAATTCTTCAGAAAATTGGGAGATACAGAGGGCCAACGATGGTGCTGTTGATTGAAAAGACGTTTGTAAGTAAATACAAGTTTTACACATTAATACAAGCCTTGATTTCTCACACATTTCGTACCAGAAAAAGCCGAATCGAGAAAATTTGGATCCAAACTGTAGGCTTCCTGATTAATGTCCGGTAGGTATATGCCACATTCTCCCATAAAGGTTGTATATAACGTCGCGTGATTAAGTTCAACATTACCATTTCCGAGTTCATCTTGCCAAATAGCAAAAAGGAGTGATCTAATTTCGTTGGTTGGCCCTTGTAAATTATGCAAGAGTTACATATTTCTGACGCAGATAAATATTAAAATAAAGAATAGCTCAACTATAAAGTCCTCTACCTGGCTGAACTGCGTTACGTAACCAAGAACCATCCGTCTGGTTAAAAGGGGCGTACTGGCGAACCCTTTCGATAAGCTCATCGAGAGAGGTAAAAACGGGATCATTTGCCGGGTCATATTCATCAGTTTCCTCTCGCAATTGGTTGTAAATATCCTCCAAACGTTTATCAAAAGCGTCTTTTGTATAATCAAAGGGTTTCATAAGTGGATCATCAGTGCTTTGAACCTCTTTTTTTGCCTACATATTTAAAACAGAATTATTATTATTTAAATCGTAAAGCTTGCAATACTTTGAAAAAACGACTTACATCTTCAAGGTATTGATAAGCCATGGCTTTAGCGATGGGCAAAAATTCGGGAAACGTTTCTATGTTCAACAACTGTCAAAATGATAGACACGGTTAAACTCTCATTCCAAACTTATTTATAATTTTCGATAATTACTTTGTAAAAAGCTTCCCGCTCTGAAGCTGATGTTTGAGTTCCTTCTTGTTTGCCCGTGTCCATCCACTCCTTGAACAGCTTGATTTTATCGTCAGTCCACGGGCCATCTTCTGGCATTTTGTATGTTGATACTTGTTGATAGATAGCATCGGCGTATTTGGAAACATCATCATAGCTGTAAAGGTTAAAACGCTCCTGCATGCAAGTTACGTCTTTTTCTCGGAACAACGGCTTAATATCTTTAAAATAAGTAACATCCATTGGAATTCTTATAAATTGAATTTTCGGTCGATCGGGTCGATGCTTGGGACGCGATAAGTCTTGCAGCTTTTATATATCATTATTGTCGTTACATTTTTCCTTGGCAGAAGTATGATTGTAAATGTTTGTAAGCAAATTCTGTGCTTTGTTTGATTTACACTGCAGTAACCCTAGAATGTTTGTGCACGGTCCCTGTGGACTCGAATTCATAGGACACATTGTCATTATCTGCATTCCTAGCATTGCGACACGATAAAAACCAATGCAACAACATGCAAAGGAAACCGAATTGAACATACCCGTCCTTTAAGCGTTTACTTGATTGGGATAATCCCGGTATTACGAGGCAAAGTACTTGTCATACTGTCGTACCAACTGCCGAGCCTCGACCACTTTCGGATTTGCTGCAAAAATCCAAATAACATATGTTATTGTCGTTGACGAGTAGCAAAAGGGCTATTAAAAAAATCATGAATCAACACAATCATCATATGATCTAACGATTGTTCACCCGCATTAATATTGTCTCTTGTATGCAAATTTTATCGGAGGGGTTTAATCCGAATAGATGCTGGGTTACTATTACACTCTTTTCAAGACAGTCTTGAAAAGATTCAAAGTTGTGCAAGGTACATTACGAGATGAGCGATAGTATATTAACAAGTGATTAGTTTAAAAACGCTTGGAACACCAATTGCTTAGATCTGTAACATATCGATAAAGTGACAGTAGACACGTTAGTTAATCGAATATTACAAATGTTAATATGTTAATATAATAATATAATTTATATTTACATAGTCAACCTCGTTAATCCGAAGCCAACGGGACCGAGGCTTAAGTTCGGATTAACGCCATCTTCGGATTAACG